TACTGGACACGATCCCAGCCCTTAGTGAAGCTGCATAAGGACCATTAAGATATGCTTATATATTACCTCCAAAGAGGATTAAATTATATCAATATAACTATCCATCCACGGAGCTTGGTACTATTGTTTTAGTAGAAAATAATCAAAATGTTTTACCAGTGCAAACAGTGTGCAGGACAAGCCCACAGCTATTTCACATTGCAGCTCCCTATCACGTACATTTCTAATATCTGATCGCAACAGGAAGGGGTCATTCCCATTAACAGAAAGAATTACCAGTTTGAAAAGCAATCCCTCACCAGTGCTCCTCCAAGCAGATGAACTTGACCTCAGATGGAACAACGGACGACGCCACTGTTAACACGTTCTCATGTAACAACTGCTGTATGTTAATAAAAAGTAAGTTTTGCCCCAATTCCACTCAATTACTTGTTCTAAGTATGTTATTTACTAATCATCTGCTTAACAACATATACCTCAAGTGACAACTGCTTTCTCCATCTTGGGGACACATTCAAGGATGGCAGCCACGACATGCCCATCAGTCATGTCCGTGGCAGTAGGCTCTGGTAAGACAAACTCACCCAGTTATTACTGCAGCAACATGACAAAGACATCGAGGTCGTTTAAAAGGAGTATTTTATTTACTTACCTGTCCTGATAAGCAGGTAAAGTTATTTAAGTTTCTCTGGATGTGACAGGAGTCCTGGGCCCCTTTTTGGTACTTTGAACAACCAACTCCTCCATACAAATGAAAACATTAACGAACTTTTTAAAGGACTGAAGGAAAGAAAGAGAGCTGGTCAGGGAAAGTAGAGTGGTGAAAACAAAAGAGGTGGCACACAAGTTGGCAGCAATTTAAGCTTGCTACTCAATGCATCAAAATATTAGTATCAACATCTTAATCATCTGAGTTCTAGTGCTACATATGCTTACAATATATTTAGATTGAAATAAAAGTAAAGACATCACTAGATATTAACCAAGTTTTTAAAAAAGAAATAGTGTCACAATAAGACTGCCATGGCCAAAAGAACACCTCTATTATGGGTTGTAAACTGCTGGAGTTAAATTCAAAGGACCACGTCAGCAACTTGCCCGTTAGACGGGACACCCTGGCAGCCTCTATGGTGAGGACACAGGAGGACTCTGCAGCAAGAACAAACTGGCTTTCCCCAAGTTTCACTCCGTATTCCCCTCCGCCAGGTCCCAAATATCAAGATCCAAATCTCAGAATGGAGCCCACAACAGAAAGGCAAGAGCGTCTCTGCTGAAATAACTGGAAGGGGCGTAGCACAAAAACTCCAGGTAGGGGCTTGACGCAGACTAGAAGAATCTCTACTTTGTGAGAAACATTTAATTCAACACAATGAATTACAAGAGGACAGATTTACAGAATAATAACCGTAACAGACTGTTCAAAAAGGAAAATAATTGTCACTGGCTGCAGTACGAGGTAAGGTTCCCCAAAGCAATACCTGGTAGAGCAGCAGCAAAGTACAATTCAGTCTTCTGGCAGTACTCCAAATGAGCAATATCAAAGATTTTTGTGTTTGCAAATCTTTAAGAAAAGAGTTAACATAGTATTGATCACTTTGGCACGGGATATTTTTTAACGAGCTTACACCTATTCAGATCACTAAGCTGAACTACCCCCAAAGGCTATTACTTTCCAGGCAATTCTCCCGGCCCCTTGCTGTCACTGCTCATCATTCTCACACGATAAAGGCTCTGGGAGCTACTTTCTTCCCCAAGTTTTGGGATACCAACAACTTGTACACCATAGCGTTAGTGGCACGATATTTAATCCACCACTTCATACTGTACTCTCAGCTGAGATGTCCATGCATGAATTATGCAATGTATACCCTAAGACTAAAATAACTTTTGCAACCCAGTCCACGCATTCTCCAAGCTATAAAGTCTCGTCGTCTTCCCCTCTCCCTATCCTCCCTCCTCAGATAAATTCAGTTTTAGCCACAAGTTACCCCGATATGCTCACAGATGTACTAGAAGAGACTGAGGAATCAATCAAGGTACCCATGGTGAAGCCAAGTACTTATAAACACATTAAGGCAGGTTTCACGTTGTTTCATTTTTGGACACAAAATGCCAGTCACTTCACTGCACATGCAAATAAGAAAGATTTAATACTTAATAAAAAGCTTTAAATTCGTTTTTAGATATCAATTATAGAAAAATCAACCTTTTTTCCTTTCTTGTTTTAAAAGAGGTCAGAACATTACTGCACACGAAAGCAGATGTGTAGACACACCTACTGGAATGGATCCCCTTCCCTCCACACACACAGAAACAGAGGTCAGGGTTCTTGGCACCAGCAGAGAAAGGAGGAAGTTTTCCTCATTGTCAGTCAGAAATGAGTCATCCTTGCATTCTGAGTCGAGGAGGTCTCCCTGACCAGACTAAAACCAAAACAAAATATACCATAGAGTGGGTATATTTATCTTCGAAACTCTATTCGGCTACGCTCGGACATACACGCGACTCCGTATCAAAATCGTGCACAGTGGTGCGTTCAGTGTAGTACTGGAACGAACTAAAAAGAACGATTGCCATTGATGTAAGACCAATTCCTCAAGTGTAACTTCCCCTACTAATCCAAACCTCAGGTGGAAGAGGTGCTGGCAGTTCATCTCTTGAGACTACACTTCCAAGACCAATGTGGTCTTGCGAGGAAAAGGAAATCCAGCGACCCGAATTGACACATGGAATGACAATCCACAACATAAAATGATCCCCCTACAGCCTGGTACAAACAGGTAGCCTAGAGCAGAGTAGCCAAGGAGTGAAACAGCATCTCTCTCACTTGCATTAGAGAGAAAATTGTTTCTATGGCTCACTGTTACAGGTAATTTGATAGAAAAGCCTAAAAATGTATCACCTATCACTGACCCACAATAAAAAAAAAAAGGACAGGGAATTTGGTTCCTAGTATTTTCCCTCCCACCATTTTATATTCCTTTATTACCTCCCACTTTTGCATTCTGGATTACTCTACCCCTTTAGAAAAAGGAGGGGGAGTAGAGTTTAGTCGAGTTCCATCTTCAAAACTACCCAGCAATGAATGAACCATCAGCTTCTCAACGTTTCCTGAAGTGTACATCAAAACGCTCATCGGTACAGTTGGGTTCTTGGTGCAATTTCCTTGGCAGACACTCTTGGCTTTGTAAATAGTTGTGCTGACCTGGCTGATAGGGTTTATACTGGGAATTCTTAGATGGAACTCCCTAGAAGAAAGAGAGAAAGAGACCTTGTGAGTCAGTAAGAACTTTTTATATCTTTATAGCAAATGAGCCTTTAAACGAATAAAGCACCATTGCCATAACATATCCATTTCTTTATCTGCTGTTTTTCACCTTCAGACAGTTTCTTCTGGTTCTTTGCTGTTGCCAGACCTTTGCAGTAGAAGGAATGCACGATATTCACTGTCCAAATAAAGCCACTGTTAGTGACGTGGTGAAACAGGAAAGCATAGAGAGCCCAGATATAGAATCATAGAACCACGGAATGGTTTGGGTTGGAAGGAACCTCAAAGATCATCCAGTTCCAACCCCCCTGCCATGGGCAGGGACATCTTCCACTACACCAGGTTGTTCAAAGTCTCAGCCAACCTGGCAGATGAGGATACACACTGGGATAAGGTGGCGTCTCCCAACGGCCAAACAGATTCCACGTTATAATCAACCTTCCACAGCTTGAAGGATTGCTTAACATAAATCTCTTTTTCTTCTACCTGAAACACAGCTGCCACCCCCTCCAAAGGAACTTTGCTTTTTTCCTGGTATTTGTCCTAAAAAGTCTCTTTTTTCCCCTCCACGTTCCTGGTTCTTGCCTCACAGGCTCTGGAGTCGACGTAACGAAGCACCTGAGGTACTGGCTGTCTCAGTAACAGAACACTAACTGCTTTTCTTAGGCTAAAACTTAATTGACAATGAAAATCAGCCAGTTCTGTTTTCACCTCCCTGCATGAGCTCCACTGAGGATACATACAGCGCTCCTGGCGTGGGTTACATCAAAGGAAAACAGCAAGGAAACACTCTGCTTCGCAGCACGGAGCACTGTCCATGTCTAGTGCAACATCTAAGGGAACTCCTGTTGCTGTACCTTGGCTTTTTTCTGCATTACTACACAGTAACGACTCATCACTCAGAGCTCTTTTAGTTTACAAGACAATAAAAAAAAACACTTCTAGTCGCACCTTTCAGAAGTTCCGCTGCACAAGTGAAAGTCAGACATTGCTTGAAAACAAGCAGCAAGTCCTTTGGGATGCTTTTAAGGGATGCACAATGTAAAGGCACATTTCTGTCACTCCTGCAGTTACTACTGTTACATTATCTTAAAACTTTTCAGATATTTCCAGATTTTGAATATAGATGTTCTTCTGTTACTTTCCGTTTATAAGTTCCTGCCACATAGAAAGTTTTCTAGCAAATTCCTGCTTTTGATGGTCAGGTTGCTTTTTTCTAACTTTCTACAAATATTATTCAAAAAATTCCACAAATGTGCCCTCTAAAATACCCTGCAAGAAAACGTGTATTAAAAACACAAGCTAGAGAAAAAGGCAGGCAGGAGGAGAAACTGAGTCCACGAGATGGCAGCTGTGCTTTCTGCCCACAGTGTCCTCCAGCCTTTTGTAGGAAGTAACAAAAAAATAAATAGGGGGAAAAAATGACATCACAAGACAAATAGATTTTTAAGTAGTAATGCACTTTCAAGACAGAATCCTTCAAGCGCTGACATACACATTCTGGTTACACCTGACACAAGGTCCAGAACACTCCATGGCAACACAAGCACTCACCAGACACCATACCCATCAAAACATTTTATTTTTTCCTGAAAGCGTGGCTACTACACCCTGAAAAGTACACGCTAAAAAGCAAAAGTTTGTCAATATATACTAAGATCCTTCTAAAAACATTTCTGCCTTCAACGTAGTACAGTTTAAGACGAGAAAGGATGCTGCCACATTACCTGGACTATACATTCTCCATCTCCTGGTCGTGGTCCTGCTCTTCTTCCTCCTCTTCCTCCTCCTCTTCCTCACCTCCTTCTTTCTCTGAAGGAGCTTCCCCATCTCTTGCTATTTCTTCTACGTGGGCAAGCATGTCAGCCATCAGGGCTTCCTCCAGCCTCTTTCGCACCTGCTGCACCAGTTCCTCTTGCTTCCTGCCCCAAATCAATGAACACTGACATCAATCCTCAAAGCTGTAAATTTCGAGGGAAAGGAATCTTAAATCCCTCATACATGAGGCTGGGCAGACAAACATGGCTTTGGAAGAGCCCTCTAAGAACTGCATTGTAAAAAAATTGCATTGTAAAAAAATTGCCCGGCATTATACTGTAAGCAAAGCTGAAAGAAACACTTTAAAAGGTTGTCCAATATTTTCTTTTACAAGTCCTTAGCCTTGATTGTACCATTTTTAATTCTGGCTAAAATCTGCCTAATCTAGCAGCTGATTCAAGACTTTTTTTTTTTTAAATTCCTAATATTAATATTAATTTAAACAAGAAAAAGTCAGCTATCTTGCTCAGATTTCCGAAAATGACACTGGAGAAAATTAATTTTCTGACCATTTCAATCTTTTTGCTCATTCTCCTTTTGAGTCACAATTTTAAATTTTACAGCTCCTTTTCTGTCAAAGTCACAGTGAAGTGAAGAAGTGATCCACAACCTGTGGCTTACGTGACTCCTATTTCATCTCAGCCACAGGAAATCATAAAGTTACAAACAGGCCATTTTTCCTGCTTGTTCATGTATAAATCAAGCACAAAAAAAGGCATCCTGTAATTCAAAAAGATTTGCCAGTCAAACAGTCAAAACAATCACTACTTTAAACACCGTTAATGAATGCAAAGTAGTGTCCTTTCAGGTTGCTGCCTTTGGTATCTTCAGTTCTCTAGCAAGTGCTTAAAGCTGAATTCAACCAGTTTTGATTTAGCAAATAATTCGTTACTGAAAGCAGGCTGCATCTAAAGAAACTGCATCCTTGTTCGCTGCCACCACAGCAGTTGGTGCTTTTCTTTGCTCCTGTGCTGACACAGAGTAAGGGGAAGAGAATCAATCTGCACTGTTCTGGATTTCTCCAATTCCTTCTTTGCTCAGAGGTGCCTTAGTCAAGGTTACTCAAATTCAGACATCTTTTTCAATAAAAGGATAGTATAAATACTATGGATTGGAAAACAAACGAACAAACAAAATCTAGAAAACCCAAAATGGGAATGGAAGTTGTTTCCATTCTGCTTCTGGAAAACAAACAATAAAAAGTCACAGAATCATGGAATGGTTTGGGTTGGACCCAAAGATCATCTAGTTCCAACCCCCCTGCCCCCCTTCCACTACACCAGGTTGCTCAAAGCCTCATCCAATACTAAAGAATACAATAAAATACTCTGACATGAATGAAAAAAAAATGAACCCAAAACCTCAGAGTAACTGAACATGGTCAAGACAAAAAGTAATGGGCTTTAAGTAGATGCCTCTAAGAGAGCAACTTCGTGCAACAATTTTTTTTCTATTCTACCGATGAAGAGATGTGCAAACTAATTCAGCAAGCCACAGTGCTGCATCAGGCATTTAAACTTGCCATTAAAAAAAAAAAAAAAAGGGTACTGTTTTACCACGAGAAACCAGTTGGACTTGATGATCTTCAAGATCTCTTCCAACCTAAACAATTCTATGACTCTAAGACTGTAAGTGATATTTCTAGTCAATACCGAATATCTTCGTCTGTCACCATGAACGCTTTGCAGAGTGGCTGTGAGGTGTTCAGCCACACTCCAGGATTCTTCTCGACGGCCGCAGACAGCTGCCCGGTGATGGGCATCGTGCTCGTGTGCAGAGCACTAGCTATGGCAGAGAGGAGGGTTTCATCAGTGCAGCCAGGTCCAACCCCTGCAGTTGGGAGGAAAAGTGATAATCGACATTGCACGAGACGAAAACAGCAAACCAGGACAACAGGCATCATTTAAATTTTAATGGCAAAGCACATACTATCGTGTAGAAAGCTAACACAACATAAATCTAGTCTTAAATAACTTCTAACAGCACCTGTACCTCCAAGGTTATTTAAACCTAGATCAATTCTTCATTCTGTTACACAAGAAAAAAACAAAATGGGAATGGAAGGTGTTTCCATTCTGCTTCTGGAAAATAAACAAACAAACAAATCATAGAATCATAGAATGGTTTG